CCGAGATGGTGTCTCTTAAAGTTCGCAAGGAGAGACTACAGCTACGACTTATGCCCCTGGATGAGATGGTAAGACTACACGCGACCGAATCGGCACCGAGACACGACGTCGCCAAAATAAGGGACTCTAGTTTTATAGCTGTGCAAAAACTTTCTTTCCCCGTCTGAGACGTACTCGAGGTCACTGGGAAATACCAACCGTCTGGACCGAAAAAATCAACTAGAGTGACTAGTAGAGTTGTGGGGACTTGTTCTCGATGTACCGTTTCTCGTCGACCATAGTGTCGACATACCGCGTGTACTTTCGTAAGGGCACGCTTCGAGGCAGAGAAGCTCAGTGTTGACGCGTTGAAGTTACATCGCCGTGAAGGGTGTGACGACTGGCTTTAGTTTACGCGCAAAGGTCTACGGAAGACGAGCTTTTACCCCTCTTATACACAGACACTAGTGTAGAGAGTAATGTCTCAAGTCAGCCGCGAAAGTCTAAAAAAGACGAGTAAGCTCTTTCTTTAGTGTGGACAAACGCCGAGGCAAAAGTTACCTACGTCTTCTTCACCATTCTCTCAGACGTTAATCTTGACTAACTTTACGTCACACTACTAAAGAGATTCTTAGTTGTAGTCGAAGAGAAGGGATGGACTGAAGATGCCTCGAACCTTTTCCGGTTCAAAGGAGACTACTCTGCGGTGCGTTTTGCATTACTACTCAGACAAACCGAGAGTTGTATGTAGACACTCGTCTGTAAAAGAGACAATTGCGACTTGTTTTCGTCTAACTCTTGGTCTTACTGCTGTCGGTAGAGACACTGCAAGGAAGCGTAGAGTTGGTGGTTGTGAATGAGGACTGGACGGTCGTAGGAACGTCTTGTTTTCGCGTCGTAGTGAAACGATGCGGTGACTCACGTTGTAAGAACTTGGGTATATGACCCACTCAATTTTTATATGTGTGTCAAAAGTACACAATTATTCGGGTTTATGAAATATTTTAAGTCAGTTAATTTCAACTTAAAAAATTGGTTGTAATCAACTACACAATTCGTTCGGGTTAATAAATAAATAAACATTTTTTGTGTTTAATTTTAGATGATAGCCTCTTCGACACTACCTCCCCGAAGAAAAGAAGTTTGTACAAACGTAAATAGTTTGCATTTAAAATAGACGTAAACTAACTAAAATGGTTATAATCACGTAATCTTCACTCCGGTCCATATGAAGTGCAGATACACTCCACCGGCGTCAGGAAGACAATATAAAAGACATTACACCGGGTAGTGTCTGGCCTGAAACCTGATGTTTTTTACAAAAACCTCTCGGGCAGCCACATCGACTATCACTCGTTCGCTATATAACTCAATAAAACAAATACTAGTCATGCAAGAACAAGTTTTGTCAGTAAACTTCGAAAATAATAATATCCGCTTGTATGTGTCTCTTCAGTCCAAATACTTGCAGCGTAGATTTTTACCAGTGATCAACTTATAACACGTATGGAACTCTCCTCAATGGTTTGTATGTTAAACGTCTTTACGATCGAAGACGGACAACATTCGACCTGCTGTATGATACGTAATCTTCAATGTCCAATTATCGTAAGAAGGGTGGGTGTGGTCTATGGTTCTAATGCCACACAAAGAAACTTAAATTCATTAACATCAACTGAGTAAAATACCTGTAAACGTATTAAGTTATTGGAACTCATATGTCGACATGTCGCCAAGTAACCTAAACGTCGACTTTTTGTACCGACGTGCGTATAAGCGACTAAAAGTATAATCGATTCAGGTTGAGGACAAGAGAAAATAAAGAAATACGGTCCTAAAATTTTTAAACGTATTAAAGTTTTACAATTAAATAAACAGATTAAAACTAAAACTAAAAAGGGTTCTAAAGTCAAAAATGTTGTTAAAAATAAATAACAATTTTTTTTTGTTTGGTTTTTTTGTTGTTCGGTCTAAAATTTTCCAATTCAAGTCCACTCGTATCCTATAGAAATATTTCTTATGCCGTTCCTTCCATGATAAGTCTCCTAATCAAAAGAGAAACTCATTGAATTATGTAATAATAAGTTTCATGAATTTGACAGCCGGGTTTTTCTGTGCGTTTGCAACTCTGAGGTCAGCGTTGACGGTCTATAGTTCCTTTCCCATTTTTAGTCTAGTCTTACGAAATTTGCCAAAGTCATGTCTTCTTCGTCTCCTTGTAGCCTTGCGTTTACCTCTTTGACAATCTTCGTCACCCGGTTTCGCTCCTCCCTAAGCTAAGCGTCGTCTACTAGTTGGACCTTGGTTTGGCCTGTCGGGTATCTTTTTCCGACATCAACTTGTTACTCTTACGACTTATGGAATGTTGTCCTTTCGTCACCTAAGTTTCGCGCCTTGGTTCGGGAGAACCATACCTGGACTTTTGTAAACGATACTTGTCTCGACTTTTTTCTTTTTTCCGGATACCAACCGTTCAGACCATATGAGGTACGACCTTCACGGTCGGTTCCTAATTCGTTTTGTCGATGTACACCATCTTTGACGTCCGTTCTTCTTACCTTCTCCTTTCTGGTTGTCTTCTCTACCTTCTTGAGTCCGTCTTTTACCTTCCGTCTTTTGAGACGTGCTTCTCTCCTTCTTAGGTTGTCTTCTTTACCTTTCTTGAGCCGTCTCTATTACCTTTTCCTTGAGTTTGTCTTCTTACGCTTCTCCCGTCGGAGTTTTCTCCTTACCTTCTTCTCTGCTTTCGTCTTACTTCGTGTATTACTGTAATAACTTCTCATTCTCGCTTTCCGGGTCGAAACTTCCGGGTATTACTCGTAATAACGGCTTTTCTGTTTTCCCTCCTTCTATTTATGGCTGTTGAAGACCGGCCTTTTGCTGTTCTATTACATCTACAGTCCTGTACTTCCTCGTATCTCCCTTGTCTCTCTTTCCTCTCTTGTCTTCTTGAGTTTCTTTTTTGCGTCTTTTTCGATGAGAGGGACTGATAACGGCTTCCCTCGTCCCTCCACTTGCTCAACTTGCTGGCTCCGCCATGTGTCAAGACTGGGTCATTTCTGTGAGGGTATGGTAGCGTTGTCAGTGTCGTTGTTGCGCCAAAACGTACGAACGGAGACTCTATTATCACTCCGCTGCTTTTACTCTTTCCGTAATGGCTCCGACCTTTATCGGGTTTTTGCTCTTCTTGCCGTTCTTTGATTTTCTAGGTTCTGGCCACGTGTATCGCGAGTCGTACTGGTAACTATTCGGCCGACCTTCTGCTCCTTAAAGTTATGCGTTGAAGTACCTGATGTCGTTCCCTCGTACCTTTCGTAATCAGCCACCGTTTTCGGATGGAGGTGAGGTGCTTTCCTCCACGTCTTTTCACCCACTCGACTACGACCTCTTCTATCGTTCCGGGTCTGTTTCGGTCACACGAACCCTCTTATACTCCCTGGGACCGAGGCCATGGCCTAACTCTCCTTTCGCTAAGCCTTCGTTCTCCGGTCATTTCTTAAGGCCGCTCCGGTTAACCGTCGCCCGTGGCTGCGTGTCTACTGTGAAGTAAGTTCGATGTAGTCCTAGCTTAATTAACCGACGATTAATGCATGCTGGTCGTAGAATGGGCTGGTGTGCCGTCAAATGTACCGGAGTTTGCGCCGTGACTCCTTGTCCCGTGCCTCCTTTTGTACGTACGGATAGGACTTCTCTACGCTTCCTTCACACCTCCTGACATGACCTCTTGCTTGTACTGCAAAAGCGGCCGACAGTTGTTAAGCGACACCTTCCTGCGCCTAGTAATTTCGGGATAAGGGGTTAGTCACGTCCGTCGCGGAATCTGCTACACCAACCCCCAATCTGTCGATTTTAGGTTCTTTTTTACCTCTCGATTGTAGAGTAAGTGCGGTACTGTAGTTTACGTCCTTTTATTCTTTCCTTCTACTAGCTTCTTTTGTTTCTTTGACCTTTTTTATCGAAAAGTTCTACGTCCACCGACTCTTCTATGAGACTTCGAATTTTAGTCTAACCCGGTATGATCGTCCTTCCAGTCCCACGCTGTCGAGGAATTATATTGACAGTTTTCACAACTGTGTTCATCACATCGCCAAGCTGGACTGACTTGGCACAGAGGGCTTCTTGGTGGATGATGCAGTGCATTTTGACAGCCTCCCCTCCGCTCTCTCGCACCTTGGCGCATACCAT